TGGAGTCTGGCCATTGAGGACTGACTCAGGCAAGTGAAAAGTGAGTTGCAGTAGCCCAAACGTGAAAAGACAAAGGCATGAATAAGATTCTCTAGATCAGGGAAAGACAGAGTTGAATTAATTTACTAATGTTTCTTAGCTGGTAGTAGCAGGATTTAATGAGATTATTGATGTGCAGAATGAAGTTAAGATGTGAATCAAATGTAACACCTACATTTCCACCTGTAGATTTTATATTGGGTGTTAGACCGGACCAAAGAGCGGCTTGAATTTGCTTGCTATATGATCAGGGCCAAAGAAAATTACCTCTTGTCTTCCCTGTATTAAGCTGCAGACAACGACAGTTCATCCATTTCTCAATGGGGGCCATGCACTCCACTAAATTCTTTAAGCGGCTGATATTGTCTGACCTGAAGGACAGGTACATTTGCACATTATCAGCATAACAGTGATAGGAGACCCCCTCAAAGTGATTCATAATATTTCCTAATGGGAGCATATGCAGGGAAAACAAGACTGGACCAAGAATTGAGTCCTGTGGCAGACCGTACGTCATGGGGGCCGAGGAAGAAACAAAATGATCAATTGAGACAGAGAATCCTCTATTTGACAGGTATGACCCAAACCATCTGAGTGCGGTTCCGGTGATGCCAACAAACTGATTAGGTCTATTGGCTAGAATTTTATGATCAATAGTATCAAATGCTGCACTTAGGTCCAACAGCAATATAACCAAACATTCCCCATTATCAGCGCTCATCAGCAAATCGTTTGTAGCCCTGATAAGAGCAGTTTTGGTACTGTGTCGTTGGAAGAACCCTGATTGAAACTTGTCACAGATGTCATTATTGTTTAAAACAGATGTGAGCAGGCTAAAAAAAAAACACCTTTTCAACCTTTTCAAGAACCTTAGATATTAACGGGAGTTTGGAAATGGGTCTATAATTCTCTGGAAGTGATAGATCAAGGTTAGGCTTTTTGAGTAAGGGCTGGATGCTTGCTTGTTTAAAATGATTGGGAACAGTTAATGATGTAAAGTAAGCTGGGGCCAATTGTACCAATAAGTGAGGTGGGTAAGATATCAATAGGGCTTGAGGTGGTACGCATGTGAGACACAGTATCGATAAGCTCAGTAAGAGAAATTAATTGAAAATGGCTGAGCAGTTCAGAGCGGACAGGATAATCATAAATATGTGCAGTTGTCGTTGGTACAATATTAGACCTAATATCTATGATTTTTTTTTAGGAAAAAAGATAAGAACTTTTCACAGTCAGCATTTGAGGAAGCTGACAGAGCTCGGGGGCAGGGTTAATAAAACCCTTTTCACACATACGGAAATCTCTTGAAAAAATCCGGAGATTAGGCTCCCCAGAGGGGCTTTAGGGTATATGTGAACAATCGCAGCCAAATTTTTCGCGCAGACTTTACCCGGAGTTACTCCGACCAGACCCCTAGTATATTTTCCGCAGAAAGTCCGAGTGAGAACGCCGCAGAAAATTCTCCGGGGAATTCACCTCGAGCCAATGGGAAGAGTATGACATTTGTACAGTGACTGCCACACAGTGCATAAAGTGTCTGCACGTGACCACTACGATCTCGGTGCACGTAATTAGAAGGTTGCATTATGTTTTCTGTCCATCAGTATATTGTTCTCCGCTCTTTTGTGGATGTTGTCATTCCATTGGACTACACATAGCATTGATTTAAAGTCAAATATTCTCATTATAGCATCGTGTAGCGGACTCTGTTGCTTCGGCCACTACCTCTAAAGCTATTAACTAAGTCAACTAAGCCACTGTGTTGAGATAGTAAAGATGGAGTTTGGTTTAGTTGGCCAAGGGAAAAAGAATTAGAAAATTTAGAAGCACTATGTTCATTAAAGATACGTGAACAAATAGTAACGCTGGGGTATTTTGGGGCAGTATCAAACACAGTGCTGAAGTAGACACACAAATGATCTGAGATAAAAACGTTTTCCAAGGCCAAACCTAGAGTAAAATCTAATGTGTGGCCCCTGTTGTGAGTTGGCCCAGATACATGCTGTACTAGGTTACTCAGTGAGTTTTAAAAACTCAGTTGAAAGACCATTAGAGGGATCATCAATATGGATATTAAAGTCACCAGCAATAATAAGTTTGTCAAAGCCAGCAAACGATAAAAGTTCAGAAAATTCATTTAAAAAACTACCATTGGAGCCGGAGTCCCTATGGCAATATTCAACGTCTTCAACAAACTGATAACAAAGTTTAGATGGCAGAACAAG